CGTTTGACCCCGGTACTCTTTCCTGCCATTGCAGGGGGTTGGAGTAGATGATCTGCTAAGGTCCCTTCCGACCCTAGCAACTATGAAACTCAATGGCTAACAAACAAACCAAACCCAATGGAAACTTGGCTTCCTCGCAAGGAACTGTAGTTCAAATAACCTACCGTAAAGCACGACATTCAGCTACCGAGATACATCAGCCACATTAAGCATTAGTAGTTAAAACTTGTACTCCCCAGCCCGTAACAAATTACAGGAAGAATTCAACACATCACCTAAGGGTTGATAGCCTTGTCTCGACGGGCCTCCAAAGGGGTTCCTGCTTCCGAATCCACTTCCATCGATGGATCCATAAGACATTTTCTAGGCAGTGGCAAAGGCAGGATTATCTGTTAAAGCTTAAAAAGAAAGAGAGAGAGAACACATGGAAAGAAAAGGGCAATTGGTTAAAGTCTGTGAGTGTTGCCACAAGAAAAATGCAGTGGTCTAAAAATGAACTTCTCCCTACCCCTGCAAATATATTCCCACCGCTGCCCCCAGACACCCTCACTCAAATTGAAGGGCTCCCACAACCTCAATAATCATGTGTGCTGCACTGCAAATGCCCTGGGAAAATGACAACTAAAAGAAAGTACTGGTGTTGAGAAGGATGGTGTTGGCTGCTAGGATGTGGGGAGCAGCTCGAGGCTGCTCGGGCCCCACATGATGCACAGGTCGACGCCCGGAGAGCCGGTCCTGGGAGCAGCTTGAGGCTGCTCAAGTTAGCCCAAACGCTAGGCTGAGTAACTGGAGCCCCACAGCGTGGCTCCGCATTAAACCAAAGGAGCCCCGATGCCCAAAGCAGGACCCGGAAAAGGGAAGGACCCCCGGTGTGAAGTCGGAGAACTGGATCCAACAAGGGCTCCAGGGAGCCGGGCCATCGAGAGGAGCCGGAGGCGCCGCCGCACAGAGGCCCTTGCGGGACTGGCCACCATGGGATGAGCCTTGGCTGCTTCAGAGCGGGAGCGGGAGCTGGTGGGGCAGCGGGTCCCGCCGGGGAGGTGGGCTCAGGAGAGGAAGGTCTGCTGCCTCCACCCTCCTCCATTGTGGTGGGGCATGTCCACATCCCGGGACCCCAAAGGGGAGGGGCTCCAGGGAACACCCCCTGGGGTGCTGGGTGCACCCCATATTTTGTGATTATTGCTGTTTCGTACTATAGAGATTAATACAGATATGGGTACTCCTTAGGCAATAAAGACATAAACTCACTTAAGTGTGTTTATTGCCTATTATCGGAACGTGCCTACCTCTGATGCTACCCGTGTACGTCTACGGTATTGCTACCTCAGCTTACCTGGGGTTAAGTTAATGCTCATGTGTGTTTATTGTGTTGATGCTTTGACTTACCTGTACCAAAGTGTTAATGCTTATTCTGTGCAGGGGGGTTAATTATTGTACATGCTGTGAATCACCCGGTGTATGTTTCTGCAGTCCCTCGAAGCGGTGCCATATGTTGATTGCAGGTTATTGTATATGGTGTCACATACTAA